CTGCCTGAGAAATACCAATTATAATGCCAGCATTGAGTTAACTCATTTGATTTAAAAACTTATAACTTTCTTAGGTTAGGCAAGACTGGCACCTCAGCAAGTTATAGCACATTAGGAAATGTTTTACTTATGATTTCCGTGCCAATGAAACTTGCAGAATGAATGCACTGAGTGTGTATGGTTCTTATTTCTTTAAGAGCTTGACAGAATTAAGGGTTTTGTTTGTAGCCTTTAGAACCACAGGCGTGTTTTAGTTGTTCTTTAAGGTGAAAGTTCTTTTTGTCAGAGGTTTTTCTTGAATGTCATATTGATTTTTCCCCAACTCCCCCATCCCTGCTGATCACAAAAAGTGATGTTAGGAGAATATGCCTGTGCAGTACTGTTGTTATCTCTCAGGAAATTGGGGTTAGTAGAAAATGAGAACAGTATGTTTCTCAACCAATGTTGACTTTCAGGGACCAACTATCAAACAGAGTTCTTGCTGACCTAAAAAGAGATTTAAGTGTCTGTCCTTCAAATGCTCAGGTTCAGAAAGTTGCTAAAAGTACACTGTATCTGTATGTCTCTTAGATAACCGTGTCTAGTTTGCAAAATCTGCTAGTCAATCTGTTTTCCTAAATAGCCTTAAATTCTTTTCTCAGAAATCTTTTTGTGTACATTGTTCTGTAATCTCTTTTCAAGTATAACCCTTTCTGTGACTTTTTCTTAATTCTTCTGTTTTGGAATGGAAACCTGGGATTAAATATATATTGTTTTATTTAGAAATTATCAAGATAATTGGAATGATTGCTTTGGCATCCATCCACAAAAAGTAACTGACCTTTCCTTTGTGTTTCCTTTCATTTTCTTTTTTCCTTTCCTTTCTTTTTTGCATCAGGTAGTTTTTACCTTGATGTCATTGCTCCCCATGGAGCTTTATCCCTGCCTAAAATACCATTTGCAATCTGAAGCATATCTAAGGTAGATTTAAGGTGAAGTTTCTATGTCTGTTTTTTCCCTTCCATATTTGCCGACTGCTGGCTTGTGATTCGAAAGATGGAGGACTTCATATTTTCTCATTAGAACGAAGGCTACCAAGCTGTTATCATTCAGTGTGTTTCAATTTTATTGGCTGAAGGAGTGGTCTTCCTGAACATAGTGCTTGCCCTCATTTCATACCAATGAGTTGCAGCACTTGCCATTGCAAGCAGGAATTTTGTTAGAAGAAGAAAACAAAAAAGCCTTTATCTGTTACTAAATCAAATTACTTACCCAGTATTCATAAAGTGCTTGAAAACAAAGAAAAAAAAATTATAATTAGCTCAAGCCTTAAGGTGTGTTATGTTATGCTTCCTTATTTTGTTTGCAAGACCATCTTCACTACTGTCTTCTTATGTTATTTCGACAGATGCTATTTCTGTGTTTTGTATAGTATATATTAATATTTTTTTTCTCCCAGGATGTATTATGGCTCAGTACTACATCATCTGTGTTAGACATGGATTTTGTTTGCTGTGTTTAACAAAGCCTATAGACCCTATAGCTCTGTTTGGCAATTTCTTTCTCAAAGGCCTATATGCAATACACAATTAGACTTTAATATATTCCGCAATATTTTTTTCTGATGTTTATCTAGAAGTAGACGAAAATGTTTTTCCATAGTTCTCAATTATTTAAATTATCTTTTATTTCTAAGACATTATTAGTGGACAGTAATTATATGTTGTTTGGTGGGAAAAAAATCTGTCTTCATCAATTTTTATTTACCAGACAGAACAAATCATATTTTATTTCTAGTTGATGTAGCATGAGTTTTTTCTTATACAATGATCAAATAGCAGAAATGATTGCTGCCATTTCAAATTCCCTTTTTTTCATGTCTCCTCATGTCTGTCATTTAAAAAAAAATAAAAAAATCATGGTAAGTCTTAATGAACAAAGAAGATGGGTGACATATTTAAGAGCTATTTGTCAATGACTATGGCTTTTATGTAAGGGGTTCTTGTTCTGTTGATTTTTCATAGTTAATATAGTTGCAACTTTAGAGGAATCATTAGTCTTATGATCCAGGAATGCTTTTTCAGTTCAATACGAAAAACAAGTTCAGTTCACTGTTATTTGCTCTCTCTGAGGTAGAAAACATTTGCTGTAAGAGAGAAAGATGAATTGACTTGTCTAAGACTACGCTAAGCTGGTGGAAGAATAAAGATTAATTATAGAAAATACTGTCTTCTGGATTTATTTTATGATTTTGGACCATGCTGCTTTTGCTATAGTTTTAAATAGGATTTTTGTATTGCATATTTCAAAGCACAAGCTAGAAACTTAATTCTGGATCTATGTAACTGGTCTTAAGACATAATGTTTGTCTCAATTTAAAACAATAGATTTTACTGGCAGAACAGCCTTGTTTGTTTTTTGGGTTTGGTGGTTTTGGTTTTTTTTTTTTTGTCTTATTTCTGGGGATGTTATCTGTAATTAGATAGAATTATTGACTAATTCAGTTTGCACAGGACCTCTGGAGGCCATCTGATTGAACCCCCCTGCATCAAGCAGGTGCAATTAGATCATGGTGCTGAGGCTTGTTCAGCTTTAATATCTTCACAACCCCTTTGGACAACTTTATTCCACTGGTTTAACCATACTCATACTCTTTTCTTTTTTCTTTTTTTGTGTTCATGTACCTAACTGAATTTTTCATCAGTCCACAGCCTGTACTGTTGCAAGGGGTTATTCTGTCCCAGGTGTAGGACTTCGTGTTTGCATCTGTTGAACTTGATGAGGTTACCGTCAGCCTATTTTTTCCAGTCTGTTAGTTCCCTCTAAATAACAGCCCTCCTTTTTAGCATATAACCATTGTTGTGGGTTAACCCAGGTAGGCAGCTCAGCCCCACACAGCCACTCGTTCAGTCCCCACCAATGAGATGGAGGGGAGAATCAGAAGGGTGAAAGTGAGAAAACTTGTGGGTTGAGATGAAGACGGTTTAATAGGGAAAGCAAAAGCTGTGTGTGCAAGAAAAGCAAAATGTTAACTTCCTGAGTTTTATTAAAGACATCAAACAGTATTGGCCCTAATAACAGCCTATGAGGACATCACTAGCCATCTGCACCCTGGGTGAACTTTTCTATCCACCTTGGTGGGAGACTGCTAAAGTCAAGGTATGTGACATCCACTGATTTCACCTTGCCCTCACAGGTAGTCATTTTGTCATAGAAAGCAATTGTGTTTGCCAGGTGTGATTTGCCCTTGGTAAATCTATGCTGCTGTTCCCAGTCATCCTCCTGTCCTTCTTGTGCTTGGTAATGGCTTCCAGGAAGACTTGCTCTGTAACCTTCCTGGGGACTGAGGCTAGATTGATGGGCCTGTAGTTTCTCAGATCCTCCTTCTTGAAGACAGGCATTAAAACTGTTTTTCTCTAGTCATCAGGAACCCCCCCTAATAGCTAAATACTTTAGCCATTGTATGTATGCTAAGTCTGCAAACCAAATACTGCCTTATTCTGATGCAAGATGTAACAGGAAAATACAGTGCAGAAGTAATACTAACATTGTGTTCAGACAAAGTTCTTAAGACTTTGGGGCAGGAAATCTTGATGTTTCAGGCTACTGTCAGACTGCACATAGGCTAGTTCAGATTCTGATCTGTGGAAAGCAAAACCTTACAGCACTGTTTCCTGCAGGTAGTGTTGCCTGTTGGAGAAGATTATATATGCTAGAAATATACAGAATGATTTGAAGGTAGTTAGGCATTTGATGTTACCTGAATTTACAAGTACAGCAAACGCTGTTTAGGGGACCTCTGGACTTCAAGAAACTACATTGTTAGACTGGGGCTTACGTGACATTTTAAATTTGTTTCATTGACTTTCAAGGCCTTAAAATGTCTATAGGGAAGTGTACAGTGGGTGCAATTTTAAAACTTGAAATAAAACACAGCTGAGTAATAAGGTGTGTATGTGTCTGGGTTTTTTTCTCATTTCTTCTGTTGGTTGTGTTTAGGAGGAGCTGATCTCATTTGTGTGGCTTCACTGTTGAACTGAAATAGTTGATTAGTAGGGATAATAGGGGCAATCAACTCCTTTTCTTAATTAGATGTTTACTGTGCTTTCACAAAGTTCATAAGTTATAATTCAATTGTCCTTGCCCTGTATGTGGTCCTTGTAGCCTCTCCCTCAGCATTGTAGCATAGAATCATAGAATGGCTTGGGCTGGAAGGGACCTTAAAAATCATTGAACTCTAGCCCCCCTGCCATGGGCAGGGATGCAACCCACTAGACCAGGTTGCTCAGGGCCCTGTTCAACCTGGCCCTGAACACTGCCACGGACAGGGCGTCCACAACCTCTCTGGGCAACCTGTTCCAGTGCCTCACCACCCTCTGAGTAAAGAATTTTTTCCTAACATCTAATCTAAATTTCCCCTCTTTCAGTTTGAAACCATTCCCCCTTGTCTATCGCTATCTGCCCTTATAAAGGGTCTCTCCCTCTCTTTTATATAAGCCCCCTTTATGTATTGGAAGGCCACTATAAGGTCTCCCCGGAACCTTCTCTTCTCCAGGCTGAACAACAGCTAAGTGGCTGATCTGCAAATAGAGTATCTTGCATGAAATGTGATATGCTTCGTCTTTAACTTTATCTGCAGTTTTGTGTAAGAAAATAAGAGCCGAATGTTTTTAATTTTTCCTTTTGTTGTATACTTTGGGGTTTGGCATGGTAGAGGAAGAAGGTGTCCTCCTTTGACAAGCACAAAATACCTTCAATCTATTACATTTTGTTTGGTTTAACAGTTGTTGTCCAAGTTGTAAAAACAAGAATTGGAACATGATTTGTTTTTGAAATATGCTCAAGTAGTGCTGAAGAAGATGCTGCCTTTCCCAGTATAAATTTTTGACAATTTGAAAAACATGTTTTTTATTTGTCCCTTCTCTCTGTTCTTTGCTTTTTTTTTTTTTTTTTTTTTTTTCCCTTTTCTTTTTTTTTTTTTTTTTTTTTTTTTTTTTTTTTTTTTTCTTCTTTTTCCAAAGCTGTTGAGGTACACATTGGATAAGCATGGTCTGCAGCAGGTGAGGATCATAGCCAGCGATAGACTGTGGGAGCCCATTTCCTTTGTGTTGCTGCTTGACTCTGAGCTCCACGGAGTGGTCGATGTGATTGGGTAGGGGGTTCTCTCTATTTTTCTTTCTTGCTGGTTTGTTCATAGCTTGTCTTCATCTTGCTTATTTGTAAGTAGCACAGCCAAAGCCTTACCTCTCTATACTCTTACTTGCAATGAAAGGATTGATACTATAATCTTTCTTAGTAACCCACATCAAATCACGTGGGCTGTTGTCCTGGTGACAGCCTTAACCCTTTAATTGAATCATGAGTCTCCTATCATGTGAAAGATTCCTGTTGGCTGTGGTTGCACTTTTGATGAATTGAAGTTTTTTTGGACAACCCTGTTTATTCTGAGGGTTGTTTTGGTTCCTGTATTTCATATGCAAAAAGAGCTTTAGCTTTACAGCTTTGTATACAGCCTTATATTACTGACTTCCACTGGTCTGTTACAGAAATGGTTGTGATCCAGAAATGAATTGGGGCTATGATTCTTTTTCTAGTCACAATAATGTCTTGATTCTTAGTTCCCATTTTGTTTTGATGGGAAGGTTGTGTTTGGAAAGCATGCAAACAGCTGACTTGTTTTTCTAGTTCTAGGTTTCATCATATGGTGCTAATATTTTGCAAAAGTAGTAGACTAAATTTGAGATTGATTACTGACTTATCTGCTGGATGGAAATGTGTGTAAGACTTGCTCATTAACTTTTCTTTTTACAGTAGCTCTAAATCTTAATTATTAGGTTCCATAAACTTGCCTGACCCAATCACATGCTTCAAATGTGGCTGTTCCTTGCTTCAACTTGAGTCTTTTTCATTCATCTTTATATATCTGACCCACAGGAGGTGTAGAAATGAAGGCTTTCACTCCAAATACAGATAGGCAATCAGTGCCCCCCCCCAGATCAATCCCTCCCCCCGTTCTGAACAAAAAAATGTATCCTGACAGTTTTTTGCAAGTGGAGTCTTGGATCATGTATAGATCAACAAGTGAAAGCAATTGTGAACTCACTCTGACCGGATGCAAACCCACTGTCATTACCGTGATCCCAACATAGTAAGCATGCTTCCTTTCTGGTTTTTGGCAGCTACAAGTATGCATCTAGAGTCAGTTCCTGAAGCTCAACTGTTTTTACGCTATCTCAGTAAGTTGTGGTTGCTTAATTCTTTGCAAGTCTAAGTTTTACATCCCTATTCTGATTAAGTCTTAACAAGGAGATGAAATACTCTCTTGTGTAACGGATAATCAGTTGGCTACTGGACATTTAGTGGTGCTCATAGAATCACGGAACCGTTAAGGTTGGAAAGGACCTCTGAGATCGCGTCCAACCTGTTAACCTAACTGCCTGGTCTACCTCTAAACCATGTCCCTAAGCACCACATCCACACGTTTTTTGAATACTTCCAGGGACTCTGATTGCACCACTTCCCAGGGCAGTCTGTTCCAATGCCTAACCACATCTTACCATGGTATCTTAAAAAAAAATTGTTGGCTTTCTTTTTTATTTGAAAATATAAAAAGTATTTCAGATAGCCAGGATTTTACATGAAGGTACATAAAATTAGTTTTGGGCTTGGTAACCTAATTTGTGATCTGTGAGGTCTCTCATCAGACAAGCTGGATGGGAGATTAGTTAAAGCTGCTGCTTTTGTTTTATTTTGCACTATTTGCATCCAGGCTTCATCTGCAAGATACTGTAGTGGCTAGAAATTAGAGGGAGCCCTGAAGACACCCTGTAAAACTATTAATAGATGTTCACCTGCATAAGAATGACCCAGGTCACCAAAGCTCTTTATAATGTGATATTTCCAAACAGCTTTTCAGAGCTATTATGGTTGCATCAATTTTACCAGTGAAATTAAGTAGAATGAATTATAAGCAAGTGTTACTCCTACTTTGAACACATTTAAATTACATCGTAGCTCTTGAAAACAATGTTTTTCAAGGATGGGCTTGCAAATTCCACAGGTACTTATAGGAGTACTTTAGATGAGCTACTTGACCTAACTATGCCTAGGTTAACAACCTAAGAAAAACAAGATGATGTTGTGACATTACTGCATGATGGAATCATGATGTGGTGCCTGCAGTAGTGGGAATTCAAACTGTCCCAAGTCCATCCCAGGCCTATGTGCGGATACAGAATGAGAGGTAGGAAAGACAGTGTTGTTGGCTGACAGCTTCTGTTTTCTAGAGATGTTCTTGAGAACTAGATTCTGAGGTTTTCATAGGCAGTGCTTTTCTGCAAAGCTTCATTGCAGTGATGGTATTACACAGGCTGATTTTTTTTTTAATTTCTACAGCCTTGTACTGATGCATGAGAGAAAAATGGTGGAAACCCCTGCTATTTCTATCCTGACTTTCCCCTTCCTCCCCTTTGGGTCATTGCTATATGCAAAACAAAAAATAACACAAAGTTTTTTTGTTTGTTTTTTAATTAAGTTATCCAAATGAAGTCACTGTGGGGAATTGTGCAAAGCAGCATTCGCAATCCATAAGTAGAAGAGCTTTTCTTAATTAATGTTACTTTCTTAATATATCTGATTTAGTTTAGCTGCCCTAGTTGGAATTACATTGCTTCATCATCTGCTGTATAAAACGCACTTAATCTCATAATAGTTAATATTTTAAAAATACTTTGTTACCACTCTAACAGATAGAGGCCTTGAGGATGAGCTAACCATCTGCTGGTTCCAGAGAGACTGAAAGAAGGGAACAATGAAAATACTTTTTTAGTAAATGACCGTGGTTTGAAGAATGCAAACACTAATAGTAACAGCTGTTGGTAAATTCTTCCCTCACAGTGATAAGAGGTTTAAACTTACGTGTCACTTTTGTTGCAATCCTGTTTCTACTATTCCTTTCATTACCCTTTCTTCACCAAGATCCATTCTTTTCCCCCATTCATGATATACATCACTTTTTCCTCTCTCTTTGCAATGGTGTTCTGTTATAGTGTGTCTGACACTCTACTCTTTTGAGCACAGAATCCAAAATCCCACTGCTTCTGCTGAAGCATCACATCTATAAGAACGATGTGTAAACTCTACTCCAGTTCATCTTTTCAGACAGCAAGAAGGGTAGGTGTTTAGGAGTCTGTGTTTTTTCCTGCAACATTAATCAGGATACTCAAGTCTCTCCAAATAGTAGCGGTCCTTGAGTGGACCAATTATTTTCTGAGAGTAATTGGAGTATAGTCACTCCTTTGTAGGAGTTTTCATTTCCAGTGAAGTAAAAAGATTGTTTTCACTACCGAAGGAGCAGAGCACGCTGTTCTGGACACAGCTAATCTCCTGACCTTTGCTGCACACCTTGTGTTAGTTGTTGAGGCTGTAGAGTGGCACAAGACATCTAAAAGAGGGCTGTAGTGTCATCTAGTGTTTTCTTTAAATATAAATCACATAGAGTTCAACAAATCCAGCATATACTGGGTGTGAAAGCCTTCACTGTAATCTGATAGCAAATGTTTATTTTGTGCGTTTGGGTGGGTCTTTTTAAAGTATACACTCTACAGTGCTATTAAAAGTTTAAACAATAAAGATTGGTGTACTTATTTTTTTAAAAAGTTAGTTTTCATATGGAATAAGAGTTACGCCCTCCTTAGTCATATCCTACTTTTTAAGGACTAATTTAGATATTAATGAAAGTAAAACAAAATCCCTTGGTTAACAGCAGTGCAAGTGAAAAGCAAATACAGTTTAAATTGTGTTCATTAACAGTAATAGGAATTGCATTGAAGAGCAGATAAAAATAATTCATTTTGCAACTGGTAGTGTAAATGTTTTACCCGATTGCATACCAATGGGACAAAACAAGAATGTTCTAAGTGTGTGGGCTTTAAGTGGAGCAAAGCTGCCAATAAAGATACACTGAAGGAGTCTGCTTCTAGAATCTGTTTATTCTCCCTGTAATTTTAATTCTGTTTATCATCCCTATTTTTTACAATTTATTTCCATAGCTTTAGTGTCTTTGCATTGAATTATTTCTCTTCCCTCTTATGCAAATAAAGGCGACCCTCTGTCTTAGTGCAGGAAATCAGAGCTCTGTAGATCTTGTTCCCATGTAATCTTATGTAAAGCGCTCTGTAACACCCCCCTGCACTTTTTTGTTTTTTAAAGTACAGCTTGTGTTCAGCAGGGATGACTCTTAGTATTTAAGAAACAGATCTTCAGGATATGGAGTCTGGAAAGACAAATTATTCCTTCTTTGCCTTGTCTTTGCGAGCTACACACTTTATGCCATTACAAAAACCTTTGCTTGGTATTAAGGTAATACTTGTGTTTCCAAGCCAAATGGGAAATATACAGTAGTCTGTACAGCAGAGAAGGATGTAGCTAAAAATTTCTACTATCTATCTACTACATTATCATTAGTGAAGCTATGTATGAAGGACTACAACACTGGGAAATGGCCCATTGTCCAGTAGGTGGAAAATAACGAAAAAAACCCAACAGTCAGCCTAGAAAAACTGGTATTTCTTATGTCTCTGCCACAAATTTATCAATTTGTCACATTTCAGGCTAATAGTAAAGGAAATATTTATTTATTCCTTCCCAGTGCTGATAGTTTCATTTTATATGTATTTAGTGTGTTCAGTGAGTGTGTTAAGTGAGGGGAAAATCATGACGCTGTTTTCTGCAAGAGATTTGAAAGGTTTTATTTCAGTCAGACTAATCTGGCACAGTGAATCAGTGTTGTGATTGAGTATAATCAGTAGTCTTCATTTGAGAGAAAGCATCTTTCCTCACACTAAGGAAGATCTTGGAAAGAAAATTAACTTTCATTGTATGTTTCAACTATTTTCAGTTTACACCTCTGTAACTTTTATAGTCGAACTAGCATGCCTTTTTGAAACCTGAGTTTATTAAAAAGGTGTGCAAAATTAGCCAAGTTCATGTTTAGATCCTAAGAGAGTCATGCAGTTAAGTTCTTCGTATAATGCCTACTACTGTGTCTTACTGTTGATTTTATAATTTATGGTTTTGTTTAAGATGGAGACAATACATGCTACCTTGCACTATTTAGCACGTTACAGTTATGAAAATCTTCAAGCTCAATTTCAGGATAAAGCTTTGCTTTAGCAAGGTGCAGAAATTGCATGATATATTTAATGCTAGGATTACTTATGCTGGTATGTATCAGAAGAAATAATATACTGATGCAAACACAATAAGCTACAGAATATTATAACTCTCTCTTGTTCCATTTTCTTCTATTCCATTGTTGCTATTCCAAAGAAAGTTTGTTTTTTGTTTTCAGTTTCGAGGAGATGAATCATTGCTGTTGTGTGTACTTCCAGGCTTTGATTTTTCTTGTTCTGCTAAGTGCTCTTTCTTTTTAAAATATTGTGTAGGGCTCACTATCCTGGAACAAAAACAGTGCCAAATGCCTTATTAACTAAGAAGAAACTGTGGTCTTCAGAAGATTACAGTACTTTCAATGACGAAGTAGGTGCAGGTTGCTGGGCTCGGATCCTGAACCAAAACTACGTGAATGGAAACATGACTGCGTAAGTGTTGTGCACTGTTGCTTGCTTTCACAACTTCGTATGTAAGAATTGTTTAAAGTACTATATAACACATCTATCTGCTATGGTAAGATAGCAGGTAAACTGAAACTCTCTCCACTGTCAGTCTGAATTCAAATATAGTAAGGTATGAAGTCTGCTGTCCTTACCTCTTTGTAGGGTAGAAGTCCCACAAGTTTTAATGTATTCTTGAGTTACTGTTCCACAGTATCCAATGCTTATGCAGCTGAGTTCAGATGTCTTTGAGACTCTGATATTTGTTAAAAAGAGAATGTTCTTAAGAAGAACTAGCAACATGAAAAACATTGGAGGAAAATAACAATAAAGCTAATTTACCTGTATTTTTCTTAAGGTCTTTATCAGGTTGTTTGTCTTCAGTTAAAAGTAGTTGGTACAGATGTAATTATCTAGTTTTTCCATACAACGTCTTTCTCAGAGTCCATTCTAAAACATGCTGTAGTCTTTTGATATGCTTACTGTTTCCTGCACATTTTCTTTCCAAACTGAAATCGGGAAGAAAGCTGTTGTATTCACTGGGAAATTACATAACTCACGGTTTTAGAAGAGAACAGAAAACATACTTCAATGTTTCCAGTGCAACAACTACTAGTGTGAAAAAGAAAAAAAAAAATAGTCTTATTAAAGAAAATGTAGGCATCAAGATGTAAGCAAAATTGTTCAAAGCTTTTAGATTTTATGTTACTTCATTTTGGAACAATAAAGAGAAATCTTTTTGTCTGAAATGCTTGAAACAGAGCACAGCACAAAGCACTTAGATACTTGTAAAAGGAAGTTTCTTGAGTCACCTGGTCGCTATGAATCTTCTCTCTCCTTCTCTGCAAGCTGAAATTTTCTAACAGATGAATATTTCCTACATGAATTCCTGACCATTCCAATTGCCTTGAGTTCCCTACGTTCCTTTTCTAAGTTTGAAACTCTGCAGAACAAGTTTAATGTGAGCAAGTTGAGTTTACAACTTGAGCTGTTTATTTTATGAGCACCTTTTTGTAGGATTTCAGGATCTCTTCTGAAATGTATATATAATGTGATAAATCTATGGCAATGACGTTAGAATGAGGCCTTTGCACTCATCTATATGCAATAGCAGAACAGCATGCCAGCTTTTGCTTCTACATAGCTCCTTTATTAAGCTGTATTTCCATACTTAGGGCGCACAGGTCTTAAGTTTCTAGCAAAAGATTTTCAGTGAAGACCAAATCAAAAGGCCTGAAGTAATTAACCATGTCAGTATCCTGACAACTTCTTGAAATAGCAAAAACTCCTGGAGGATGGCTGGTTAGAGTTGTTTTCTGTTTGTTACTTATATGGATAAAGGAAGGATATTTTTTTTTTTTTTAGTGGTACTTAACTGCTCCCCCAAACCCCTCCCCCCAAAAAGCCCTACCACCAGCAACAACTAACCAACCAAAAAAAAAACCCAGCCCTAATCTAATAATCTAATCTAATACTATCCATATGAATGGAGCAAACAAATCTGTTTTCCTTCCAGAACCATTGCATGGAACTTGGTGGCTAGTTATTATGAAGAGTTGCCCTTTGGTCGATGTGGATTAATGACAGCGCAAGAGCCATGGAGTGGCCACTACAAAGTAGAAGCTCCTATCTGGATTACAGGTAAAAAGTTTGCAGTTAAAAGTTTGGTGATATAACACAGAGTATAACTGTATTTTCTGAGGCCTTTATTTGTTTAATGTTTTTTTGTGTGTATTATTTTTTGTACAAAAATAAAGTAGTTTTGTGAAAAGTTTTGTGAGTACTTTAAAAAAGAAGAAGGAAAAAAAAAAGCTCCTTTCAATAGAAAGCAGAAAGATGTAACAGCAAGGGAAATCTTAATACTTGACCATTAGATACATCGGAAATGAATAAACTACTGCCTTTTATAGCTGTTACTATTAAAATATTTTGTTCTGAAGTGCCCATAAAGGTCAGTGTGCTTTCCTATTTCCTTTCCCTCTTCTTTTTTTAACCCTTAAGTAGACATTTGATACATCTCAATTTGAGAAAATGCAACAAAGAACCTCTATATTCTTGTCCTGGTTGAGATTCTTGGTTTGTGTAAGTCAGCATTTCCTTGTTCATGGGGAAAGGGGAGTATGTTCACATAGTGTCTATGGACATATGGATTCACTCGCTATTCTGTAGTTCTTCTGTAATATTTTACTGCTTTGCCACAGTTCAGTAGAGCAAGTAGCAAATGCAATGCCATAAAGGAGGAACAAGGCAATTGCCTTCATTTTTATTCTTCTGCTAGTTACCTGTATATGTAAAAACAGTAAAAAAAAATGGCTATACTGTCATATGAACAGTTCAGAACAACTGAACGGTTGTTCCTGTTTCTGTGTTGCTCAGGATTTTCATGATCTAGGTCATATTCTTCTTTGGTACTCTCTCTTATATGCTGAAAACCTTACTTATTTAGTTATTCTTCATGGAGATGCCCATCTGTGCTTTCTCTGGCTCAACTTTTACTTTATTTAAAAAAAAAAAAAAAAAAGAAAAAAGGCGATCTTTAGGAAAATCTAAACTATGATGAATATTCTGTGATGAATATTCATATTGCATGTACATGATTGACTTATACAGTGGTGTAATAGTTTTTTCTTCCTGTATAAATAATCACTATCATTTTAACTGTTTCATCTGCCACAGAGCTGATGTTTTTAATTGTGCCTTAGTATAATTCTTTAATCTCTCTTCTTGTATAGGTAGAATTTGTTTTGGAAATTCCATTACTTTCTTCCCAAAATCAAGTTTTTGTTGTGTAAGCATGTATGAGAGAAATATAATTCAGACTACAAATGGTATTATTTTTTTATTGACTTAAGTATTTTCTTCTGATTTTTGTTCTGTTTTGTCTCAGCACACACAACGCAATTTACACAGCCAGGCTGGTCATACTTGCAAGTAGACGGACACTTAGAAGGAGGTGGCAGTTTTGTAGCTCTGACAGATGGCCTAGGAAACCTTACCATCATCATTGAAACTATGGTATGTGCATCAGCAGTTTCAATGAACTAGAAAAGATAAAGGAAATGTCTTGTTATGAAGAACCTGTTTTGATTTATGTCGTTAATATCTGTGAATAAGTTCTTTGATGCTTGTAGCTTTCTTAGTGAGACCAGCAGAGGTCCTTTTTTCTATCTAAACTTTGAATAGCTAGTTGAATGTCACCTTTATATCACAAATTAGCTTTCATTTGATAACACAATCTGGGAGGAAATTAAATCATGTGCTTTTTTTAAAGCAGTATTCAAAATAAAATTATTAAACTGGTATAATTGCAGTTATCATTAAGATAACAGTGAAATAAATAGTTGCAGATTGATCGTATGCTGCTTTTTAAATTTCAGTTTATGCTGTATGTTTTTCATGAACATTGCTATGTGGTGCATTCCAGTAATGTATGTTCCTTCTGTTACATTTATTTTTTTGTTTAGACTCATAATCACTCTCAATGTATCAGGCCTCCACTGCTTCACTTCAGTGTGACACCTCAGAGAGCAACTTTCTACCTCAAAGGGTCATTTGTAAGTAAATATTGAATACATTTGATCAGTCTTGTAAAATGAATTGCTGTCCTTAGTGAAATACATGGAAGAAAATATCACAGGTTAGCAAGAAATTGGAGTTCTTTACCTCCAATAGGAGAGGCTGTTAGACACCTGGCAAAGTTTTAAGCATTCTAGTTCTGCTTCTACCATGAGACATAATGTCATAAATGAATTTGTAGAATTACTACCTTCCAGTCTAATCATCTGTATATCGAAGGAGAAATTTCCCAGAACAGAAATGCAATTGGATTTTTCTTTAGGATTTATTCCAAGGCTGGGTGCTCTGACATGCTGAAATAGTTTGACTGGCCGGCATGGCCATGACCTTTCTAGTTGTCATCAGCTCCTTTTGAAGGGACTAACTGCAGTTGATTGCATACTGTAGGTTATGATGTTCCATCCTGTGAAGAGATATTCTGAGAATCTCTGAGTTGGTTTTTTTTTTTTCCTAATCTCGCTAAACTGAATTTCCCTCTGAAATGTGAACAATACTTTCACAGTGTAAACTGGACTGAATCTTTGTTAGTTGATTTGGATGATTGCTTCTTGGAAGCTGAAAGCGTTTGCTTATTTGGAATTTGATTTTTGGTGGCATTAGTTTCCTTTCATTTAGGAGGAGATAGTTTGGACATTACTTTTGGCAATAAAATGGTTTGCTAAGGAGAAGTAGTTGAGCATCACTTCTGATATACAGCTCCCTTTGGGGGAAGTATCAGACAGCTTATCCAAACCAAACTCTAGGTTGCTTGCTTGGTTGTTCATCTGGGTAACTAAAAAAAAAATTGTAGGTGTCAGATATGATTAAAATCTGTAACTAATGTAGTTGATGTGCCATAGTATCGCAGAAGTTTAGAGATCTGTAAGTGAAGTACTTCGCTCAAAAATGAATATCAAAGAACCAGCAACTAAACTAAAGGTCTCATTAAAGCAAAATTGGCAGGAGATTATTTCAGCCTGGTTCCTCCTAGCCAGATAACTTGTATCAAAGTGATACCGTTGTTGGTAATAAGAAGCTAAAGGTTGCATGTGCGATTGCGATGCTTTCTGTCTTTATAAGCATCATTACTGCATGTTAGGACAATGGCTTATTGATGTATAATCTATAAAAAGATAAGTCATATGTAATGGCTAGCTGAATAGAGGGGTGACCTCTAATGTGATCAACAGCTCTAAAATAACAAAAATGAGACACCCTTAGAGGACTGATATTTGTCAAGGTGAATATTCAAGGTTTGGTGTTATGTTTTTGGGTTTGGTTTGTTTTTTTTAGTTTTATATTGTGTTTCATTGTAGTATATGGTGGAAACCCTTCAAGTGTGGCATTCTAGACTTGGTTTTGAATCTGGAAACTCTAGTCTTTTCCAGCAACTCCATCCTGTAAAGGTAAGTCAATCAGTTTTAATTACAGTCTCTCTGCAATTTCAGGTGTTTCTTCCCCCTTTGCTGGAACTCCTGGACTTTCATGCCTAAACTGCATAATTAGGGCATGTTTTGTTAGCTCTGTTTGGCTACAATTTTACTAGCTATATACAAGCTTATTTGGACATGATAAAGAGTTTGGGGGAAAGGAGTTTTCAGAATAGCTCAGAGATATTAAATGCTGAGGCAAGAAGACAGGATTTTTGCCTTAAATCAAGACTTTAGAGGATCTCCTCTAATTCAGGAACTTGGGTATTTTGTTATTTAGTTGTTTGATTTTTGCAGCTTAAGCTCTCTTTAATTCCAGGTGTGGAAGGGAAGTTTTTCTTTAGATCTGAACGTGGATGAAGTCTACACTTTAACCACACTCAAGACAGGGAAGAAATGTGGTTGCCCAGAGCCTCCACCACCTCAGCCCTTTCCTTCAAATTACAAAGATGATTTCAATATTCGTAAGTCAGAATTCTCTTATCCAAAAACTTAATTCACACATGGATATAGAAAGGCAGTAACAATTATGTTGTTTGAGTCCTCTAATGTAAGCAACATGAAGTAGTCTGAATGTGTGTTTTGTTTTTGTTTATTTATACCTGCTTCTCCAACAACTTACACCTGTATACATCACTTGCAATGAGGTGTATTTAATTCTACGTCTTAACTGTGTGGTTGCTAACAGCTTTAAAATTCTTGATGCAAATGATATAGCTCATAACTATAGCAAACTATTTTTTGGAAGGAAAATAGGAAAGAAGGTAATTTGCTTTGTTTAGGTGTTTGCAAAGACAGGTCTGTGTAAAAACAAAACCAAAACTAAAATCACCATTCAACTCCCAAAACTTCAGTTTTGGAGACTGTGATTTCATAGAGTAAGTTAAAGTTGTGGAGAATATTTTCAGAGGAAATTTCTGAAAACAGGAGTACACAGAAGAAAAATAATGTTTTGGCATTGATATGTATTTTATTTTCTGAACAGGTAATCCACCTTTCAGTGAAGCCCCAAATTTTGCAGATCAGACAGGTGTATTTGAATACTTCATAAATGCTTCTGACCCAGGAGACCATGTGTTCACACTCCGCCAGGTGGTGGTTCAGCGACCCATCACCTGGGTTTCTGATGCAGACCAGACCATCAGTCTCATAGGAAATTTTCAGTGGTATGTAAATACTATTTTCTAATGACATCTGGGGAAATGTCCTCCTTACCAGTGTGAGTTTTGATCAGTTAATCTGTGTCAAGCTTCATTTCTCTTGGACAGAGGGCTTTTGCATTCAGACTCTCTGTAGACATGTAGAAATGATGACTTAAAGGGACTTCCGGAAGTCATTGAGCCATGCTCAGGGCTGTTGCCAACTCTAAGAGATCAACTGTCTCTTTGTCTAAATGAGTCTTAAAAACATCCAAGGATGGAGAGTCCACCACATCTCATGGTAGCTTGGCCCACTGCTGCACTGCCTTGGAATTTTTTTTCCTAATGTCCTGCTGGGCATATTTATTCAAGCTGATTTTTCAGAATAATGGATCTGGGTTGGCGTACTAGAAAGACCAAGTCAAAATCCTAATTCAAAGTGTGCACTGAGTTTCATATGTTTTTAAATGGGACAAAAAAACTGATTCAGTTTAGATTACTTAATTTTGAGTTGTCTTGCTTGATTGTTAGTGATTTGATCAATCTCATATCAATGAAATAGTCTGGGAGTTAATTCAGTTATATTTGTTGCAGACTGCCATCTTCTGAGCAGTTCCTAGAATTGCGTGGATTTGATTCAACTGCTATTTAAAACTTTTATTTCTGGGTAAACATAACTGAGATTTACTGGTTTGATAAGAGTGTGGTTATGATTGCAATTCTTTCTAGGAGCTATAATGATAGTAATTTGGAATCAAGAAGCATATTTTAGCATAATGTTTATTTTAAATTAAAAAGCATTTGGAAAAGAGCCTGTTAACTAATTGGTTTAGTAATAGTAAGTAATAATAAACTTTATGCTTAAAACTTTTTCTTCTGTTTGGAAGTCTAGCTTAAATTGTTTTGATATGTTCTTTAAAATAGCTGTTCTGTCAGGTTTTTTCACTTTGATTGGATCATTGATCCCCCAACTGCTTTTTCAGAACATGTTTCACGCTTCTAATTTCTGGCCTGGACAAGTGATTGAATCACTTTGCTCTGAAGCCTGGAAGAATACCACCATGTTGTAGCTAGAGGTTGTTCTTCAGTTATCTGATGTTTTCTTCTGCAGTCCTCTGTTAATGCGAAGTCTCTTATTCCCCCTGTAATCAACTTTCCCTCATTGAGTAGATCATATTCAGTGGTCCCTATAGCAGCTACACAGGATGTATTCTTAAATTACTGTACTGAGATTCTGTACTGAGAGTAAGTTACTGTACTGAGATTCCTAAAAACTTCCATTATTTCATTTTGGTTCCATTTCTTTCTGAATTTTCATCTTGTTTTCAGAACCAAGCTTGGTTCCTGAATATTCAGCTGACTATTCAAGTTTTACTGACCTGTAACTTTTCATAAGGATAGTCTTCAATTTCAGGCCCTCTGATTTGTTTGCTTCACCCTCAGTTTAAGGCTCATCTTGTCCTAGGTAGATGTTTTCAACCATTAGTGCATACTATTAAAATACTGAACCAATCTTGCATTGAATTTCTCTGTGGAATGATATTTGACTTCAGTCATCAATGGCAATTTATTATGATTAAATTTCAGGATTATTTAGTGGGTTTTAGTTTGACTTTTAATCTTGTGCTTGTGAAAGCTTTTTGTTTCTACTGCTGGGTTTGTGTTTTGCTCTGTTTTATTGAACGTAGCTGTTTCCTGAAAATATTACTATTTAACTCAGTCTACATTGCTTCCGATCTCTTTACAATGGCTCAAGCAAGATGCGGGGGGTGTCTTGGTTAATACATAGGGAGGCAAGAAAGAAATCTTGTTTGTGTAATGAATATGTATCCAAGAATCTGATACTTCTAATAGCCTTACATTAGAATGAAATCCCAGATCGTTCTTACTGTTATGTAAGAGGTGGGGAGAAGAGTTGCTAAAATAAATATTCTTTATGATTTAGTTATTAGCTGAGCTGATGTCATAGAGAGTCTTTTCACATTCTGTAAATAATTATAGATAATTAGAAACTTCCTCAATATGCAACCTTCTGGCCGTATCCATATTGCAAGTCCTTTCAGACATGGGATGTAGATTTTTAATTTCAATGTACATTAACAGAAGTAAAGAATGCTTTTAATTTTTCTTAATAAGGAGGCTTGTAGCGCAGCTTCAGGGCAGGGGAATTTACGTACATTTTCAAGGTGCCATTTGATTGTTCTGGTATTCCTTTGCTTTATTCTCCTTTACATATGTCATTAGGTGTATGACACGGTGCTTTACTGTTGAGCTGAAGTATCACCTCAGGAAAATCAAATACTTTCAACCTATTTGAACATTTTGTTCGAAAAAGATTGTTTCAGCTTTTGGGCAAGAGGTCTGGAATTCTTAAGACTTGGCCTGTATTAAAAATCCTAGAGAAATGAAGATCAAATTTTAGCAGATGTGGTGCTATGACCTTGAATCTTGGATTTGATTTAGTTATCTAAAAGCAACTTTTCATTTTGCAGACCTGAAAATTTTTCTGCGGAGATGCAAACCTTCTCTTTGTTTTGTTTGTTTGTTTGTTTGTTTGTTTTTTAATAATTAATTGAAAGTTGCTGACAATACGCTTCATTTTGTTGTTGGTTTCTGAGAAGAATTGCTCCTCCTAAGAAAATCTATGGACTCACAGGTGGGAAACAACCAGTCTAGACAAGTCCTGTGCATCTTGCACCTGTAAGTCACAATTAGGATTGCCAAATCTTTCCTCAAAAAGGTTTCTGTACTACATAGGAAATACTGTTCTACCTACTGTCTGCTCAAAAAAATCGATTCCTTGCTTGTTAAAACACTAAACTTCTCTTATAGGGTAAACATGACAGTCACTTGTGACATCTACATAGAAAACCAACGTGATGGGGGCGTGTTTATTGCAGGAAGAGTCGACAATGGTGGGATATATGTTCGACGTACCAAAGGAGTTTTCTTCTGGGTTTTTGCAGATGGCACCTACAGAGTCACTGGTGACCTAGGTAAGCAGCTCTTTCCTAAAGTGGTTGCTGACATATGGACATGTCATTTTGATAGCCTTGCTAAAAATGGCTAACATTCAGAGTTTGTAATTCAGTTGTCATCACTATGAATTTAACCCATTGTGCTCTAATGATGGCCACATTTTGTATGTGAAGAGAGCATCTGAAGGCTACTAGCTGGTCCACTTTTCAGTCTCAGCCTTCTGGATTTTTTTTTTTTTTTCTGCTGACAAAACCTGTGTTAGACTAGCAACTGTAAATTGTTTTGCTTTTCATAAATACTGTGATACAATATTAATTACAGACAGGTTTGATCTGTATTCTTATACTACACCTAAAAATCAAATCCTGCTTGAAACGCAGTGGCCTGTCTTGCAGAGCAGTGCAAGTCAACGTATGTGCATCTGGCTTAGGTGATGGTGATGAGTGGCCTACTGTTTCCACAAATTAGGCATTCTACTCTTAGTCTAGCTCAGTGGAGTGAGAGCATATTCTACTTGTGATGCTAACATTCATATGTGCTCATCTATAGAGCACTTGACAGGCACATGAAAGAGAATATGTCATAATACTTCATCAATAGCTAAAAGTTCTTTTTAATTTGCTTTGAAATAGTGGCAGGTTTTGTTGTTTAAATTCGCTTCCTATCACTTCATAAGTATAAATTACAATTTTCATAGTTCCTGATAAGTCAAATGCAACTTCTAGATCTACAGTATATCTGATATGAAGACAGCCTATAATGACCTGTTTCACACTGTACTGGACCTTAAAAATAGTCTCATCTACTTGGTAGCTGTAGTTTCTCATTTCTCCTAATTTTGGGTTTTTTTGTGTTTTGTTTGTTTTTTTTTTTCCTTTTTAACCATGGATGCGTTGTGTAAAGAAGGCTTTACATTAGCTTCTCTTAACATACTGGTGCTCCCTAGGGAAACTTTCCAATGTGTAACTCCATAACAACTTAAATTTCAGCTGTATGTAAAAACATACTCATGTTTAGGATTGACGCCAGTATTTACTTTTAGTAAGACATAACATTACCCAATTGGTTTCTCAGGCTGTAAAAATAATTTTTCCTAGGTGAAGTGAGAGGATTTTGATAACCACCTCATTATTTCAGACTGAGACACTTGTTACACAATATGATAATTTTTTTCTGTACAGCTATTTTCAGTGATCTTTACATTTTTCTAGAAGGGAGCCTGAATATTAAATTAACTTGCAGCTAAACCTGTCTGCTGAATTTTTTTTCAAGTCTTCCATCCAGGTGTCAGTCACACCCAATTTTTGCTTACCTTAAATTTTGACTAGAACTAAGCAACATGATGATGTGGCAACCCTCTGATTTAAAAAAGTTCCAATACATAAACAAGGAGATCTGTAGAACAAGCAGAGCAATAGCTACTGTCACACTTTGTGAACCCATACTCTCAATAGAGGGAATCCTTATCTCAGGCCAAATTCCCAAGAGCATTGGAGATTTCAGTGAAAAAACAGGAGAATGCACTGATAATGTAGAGTCCAGGTTTGCGTGTTAAGGCTCCCATGCTGCAGCTGAAATTGGTAAGATGTCAGTCCTGAACACTTCTGAAAAATAGGTATTATTTTCCTTTTGCTGGCTTGCTATTTATCAGTCTCAACAAAGGGGTGAAGTAATACTTTGCTAACCTTAAGCGTGTTTTGCAGCTGGAGAAGAAATATTAATGAAAGGACTTTCTGGTGTCCGGGATAATGTGTGGCACACACTTACTCTCAACATTCAGGTAAGGACACAAGCAAAATGCTAGAAAACCTGTTATGAAACTTCCACTCCTAAATGGTTTAGACAAAACTATGGTATACTGTTGACTGTCTACTTACACTAGTTTGCCCTATCTAAAACATAAATAATATCTCTGTTATTTTAAATTGATATTAAAATACCGTACCAAGTTCTGCTGCCTGTATTTTTAAAGAGATCTTGAGAAACTGGAGAGGGTATAGAAAATAACTGGAAAGATGAGTTGAAAGCTGGAGATAGGAGGGCTAGAGAGGCAAATCTTTTTTGTTTAATCTAATGAAAAGATCATGACCTGACTTCCTGTTCTGAAGACTGTCAGTAAACTACTAAACTAGCCTGTTTTACAAATCTGGCTCCCACCAATTCCCTTTGTGTGCGAAGGCCTTGTATGTGGAGCTAGTTAAGGACTGGGGAACTCAGATGAGCTGGCATCCTTCTTTCCTATACTGAAAAACCATGGGCATAGCGTTGCTGTAAAAACAGGCCACAGTTAATGAGAAGCCTGTCCACATTTTTGCCTTCCCCCCTACTCCGCCGCTTTTGGCCATAGTCACTGGGTGAGGAAAGTAGTCCCAAGCTCTACTTTAAATATACCTGTACACTTAGCTGGGTGTGACATTGGTGCAAGTAACTAAAAGGCTTTAAGTTCCTCTGCTGCATGCCTAATCACTTTGCCTAATGTAACCCTTGCAACTGCAATGTGGCCTGAAACATGGGGAAGCTTGAATCCCAGCTGGGGAGATCTTCTACTGAAGCAAACTCTCTTTTAAAATTATGCGCTGTCTTTCCCTCATCCTAAGATGTCAGTGAGTATTGGAAACTGTTTTTTGTCTTTTTTGCTTCACATTGGGAGACAAAGGGAGGCTCGTACCTGAGGCATTCACTGGAATGGATGTAGTTTAGTTTTGGCTTTTGTGCACCCACACTTATGACAGTGATTGCCATCTGTAAAATGGGCCAAGACATTTGCTAACCTGAGTGGGGTGCTGAAGATGAACATAAATTATTTAAAACACAAAACAGTGGAGGTAATTTTAAAATGATGATCTTTAAAACTTCCATCTATGCTGTTAGAGTATTTTGTACCAAATATGCCTTTGATGTAATGACAGAAGTGCAGAGCCCTCTTTAAAGAATTCTCACGCTGACTCCTTCTTGAAAGGCATTCTTTGCTTTTACCTGTGTCTGTAATTGTCTTTCAGATTAAGAAATACAAGTAAACTGAAATACTTTTTTTTTCCTAAATACTGTTTAGTGGAACACTGGAAGATAAATTGTAACTTTTCCTGAAACTGTTTTTAATTTTTTTAATGGCAACTTGATTCTTGAAAGTTCTGCTGTGCCCTCTTCCTGTCAGCTTGATGACTAAAATAGATCTATCTTTCCTTGTGACTTTTGCCTAATTCTGCAGAATCAGTGGAAGCTGTATCATATCCCCGTAAGACAGTTGGCCTGTTTGAGGGAGCCTGGCGCAAGTGGAAGAGGAAAACCAGTTTACCTTTCAGATTCTGCACTGAGTTTGCAAAGATGTGAACTAGGGCGAGATAGGCCTTTTATATATTCACTGTAAAGGCAGTAGATCTGTTGCACAGAGCTGATAGGCACTGGAGGATTCTATGCAATATTTAGAAGCGCCTCTGCATGGAAAATGTGTGAAATGTAGTTGAAAGTTGACTTGAAATCTTTCTGCTTTGTCTCTTCTCCCATGTGAGCAGGCTCAGTGTCAACACAATTACTGGATTTTACAAAGCTTTTTCCTTTTTTTGACAGGGCACTTCTGCCTCAGGACTGTTAAATGGTTATCCACTCTGGGAGAATGTCACCATTTCTAAACCAAGTAACGGCTGGGCTGCTATTGGGACTCGCTCGTTTGAGTTTGCACAGTTTGACAACTTTCATGTTGAAGCTAGCTGAGACGACTTTTGCATTTGGAGATCCCAGTTCTCATATTACTTTGAATAGGAGCCAGTTCAAACTTTGAGAACAACTTAATGCTATGCTGAGACTGATCTGTTGGCAAGGAATCTGAATTCTGTCCTTATTATTTGTTACAGGTTTACTTGAGTAGGTATCAACATGACTGTAACTTTATCCCCTGGTTGCTATGGGATTTTTGTCCTTTGATTTTGGGGGGTAAATTTTAGTTCAAGGTAATGATGAAAACAAAATCATGGATTTAAATCTGTCTTAATAACAACATCTTAACTTCCCAGCTCACTTTTAAGATAACTTTAGAAGTTAACAGAAGACAGAGGCATCTCAAGCTGCATTTTTAACACTTACATGATTGTGTCCATTCCTTTCACTCTGAAAGAAAGAATTAAATGCCAGTAAGCCTTATGAGCCAGTGGCCCCATACTTTTGTAGTTCTGTCATTCTCAAATTTCATTTGGATGAAGTACCTAGTTTTTCTATAGTAAAAAAAAAAAGATGTTTTGTCTGTGTTGCTGCTACAGTCTGAGGCTAGACATTACAGTACTCCAAGTGCATTTGATTACTTCTTCCTGATTACTTCTTCCAACTTTCATTGCCAGCCTTAAAACAGATCATATTTTCAGCGGAATGGAAATGTGCCTTATGGCTGATCAGGCAGTGCAGGATGTGCCTTACTTCTAAACTACCTCCTCTTTCCAATGAAGGGGTTGAAATGGATGAAAAGATACCATAATTTGCAGTTTGTTAAGGATAGCTTTGTGTTTGTTTTTGGTTTGTTGTTTTTTTTTTTTGAATAGTGCAAAGAATAAAAACTTTGCTTGTGGATGTTGGCAAGCAGAGTGCTTACTTTCATGTCAGGTCACATGTGGAAAAACTGGCCTTTTGTTCCTAGAAACTTGGGCAACCATCTCTCACTTTCAATGGATCTAAAGCATAGAGCAGAAAATAATTAAAGCATAACAATATTATTTGGCTTATTATATTACTGTAGCACAGAGGAGATACGGATACTATCACATCCTGGTATAAAAGAAAATTAAAAAAAACCCATAGTCTTTGCCCATAAGAGCTTGCAATCTATTCATAAGGTAAGTGACAGCAGGTGGATGCAAACAGAATTGTTTAGTGTGCCAGGCAGTGGTACTGACACAATAGTGTCTGTTTTTAAACTTTTCCTAGGCATCATGGAGTAAAATTCAGAGGGAATTTCAGATCCTTGGGAAAGGAGGGATTCTGTTTTGCTGTTGCTTCATTGGTTTTTTTCCAAGTTACTGTGCTACAAAAAAAAAAATTCATTGAGAATGTAATGAGGTACTGAATGGGATTTTCATCACACACATTCCAAATTCAGTCGGCTTCTGAATTTTGCTTGTTTGCTGTTGGTCGGTTTGAATGGAGATGATGTCTAGCGCCATAATGAAGCATGCCTCCTGTGTCCATCTACTTTTCACATTCACATCCTATTTAATTGACAAGCAAGTAGTTCCACAGACTTGATAGGGCACTAATAGCTGTAGGAGGCTATCTGTAGCAGCCAATATCTCATCCTCAATCCAGAAACAGATTTGCAGTATACTTCAATTTATACAGATTATTATTCTGATCCACTTTATTTTGAAGGCTGATTCCAGTAAGTGTTAACTTCAGTCTTTGAAATTGTCATCTAACATAGAGTTAATGTAATACAAATCATTATTGGAAAATTTTTATAAAGGTTATCTTCCAAATTAGCTTTTGGAGAAGAGATCTCAAAATTCCATCTCTAATAAGCAAAAATGTTTTACCTTTTAGCTATTGTACTGATACTGCTATTGATTGGTCATGAATCATTCATATGTGCAAGTTTCATGCATGCTAGTAACCTTGAAAAATGGTCCAAACCACTAAACTTTGGAAGCCTTGTAGAAGGCTTCCAAATATTGAGTAATTATTTACTTAACTGGGTGAAAAATGAAAGCCGTTTTTCCACTTCAGTTTCATTTGGTGGTTGAAGTACGGATGCAAGTCTGTTCATTACTTGCTTGATTTCAGAAGGGATGTCACTGGTAATTCCAGATGTGAAGGATTATAATTTTAGGTCCTCATATTCAAGTAATATGAGTACAGAAGTAGTTCTTAGAGTAAACTTATTTTAGCTGTGATGGCTTTTCCTAGTAGGATACTTCCTGGAGACTTCCTGGTAGCTTGTGTGGTTGCGAGCAGTGTTTGTGTACAAGAGCGAGCAGCAATGGTGCAGTTATTCCAAAGGAGCTGTCCAGTTTTTTTACCTTTTAATGCACTAGGGTAATAAACTGTACTGGTATATTGTGTACTAAATGCAATGTATTTTATCACTGGAAGTGTTGATTTTTTTTTTTTTTTCTAATCTTAATTTATAATGTTAGAGGATTAAACTGTTATGAACAGAATAAGTGATTTAATGGTGATATGATGTTATTCATCTTTACGTAGTCTGTAATTCTTCACCCTTCAGCAGGCCGTAATATGTTTGGCAATAACAAGCTGTCAGGTCTTTCAATGAGGAGTGGATTTATGTTGTTGATTATAAATACTAATCATTCCAAATGGATAAATAAAACACTTAAAAACCCTTTATTTGTGCAGAATGCTTCTGTAAATGGGTCTCTGTTTTCTCCAGTAAGAAAGCTGACATTTTTTCCATTGTCATTCCTGATAAATATGGTTGGCATTAGCTTAATTGGGTTGGAAGAGTTTTTCTGACACTCTGAATAGCCAAACAGTCCTCATTAACAAATATCTCAAAATCCATATGCATTAGGACTTGTGCTGTTGATAAAACAATTTTTTATTGCGCTCAATGTACATTTTGCTTCTTTCTGGTTTTGGTTTTGTGTTTTGGTTTTGTTTTTTTTTTTTTTTTTAATTTAGTTAAGGGAATTAGATTGTTTTTGAGGGCCAGTCATGCAAAACTGCTGAGTACTAAGGTCTAACTTTAAGGGTTCAACTTTTAAAAAGGGGGGAGAAATTCCGTAGAGCTAGTTGTGTTTTTCAGGCCGTCATGCTGGTAGATACGAATTACCCTGGAAACACTGTCTTCCAGTAGCCACGTATGTGCTACCACCTCCACAAACCCTGCATCGAAATCAATTGTGCCCCTTTTCTGCCACCCCACCTTTGAGGTTAGACACGATGAGCAACGCTTGGGATTTTCAAATTCCTGCAAAAGACCAGGACTCCTTTGCTTTAAAATTACAGGAGAGACTGTTACTTTAGGCTACTGATGGTGGATCCTTTTGCAGCCGCCTCCTGGTTTCGCTGTATCAGAAGTAATTTTCTAGTTCAGGATTTGATTTGGAGTTGTAGTGATGTGCTCTTTCCTTATTGAAGGAACTTTCTATCCAGAGTCCGTTTTCTGGCGTGGTGTGCATATTGTGAAAATAACTACCATAACTATTGCTGTCTTTGATGATTTCAGCAGCATGGCCAAAGAGGGACAGTGCTTGGAGACCTTATTATTCTCACTTTGATGCTTGGGGTTTTTTTTCGGGTTTTTTTTGTTTTTTCTTTTTTTAAACCCCCTTGTAATTACTACATTCATACAAGTCTAGCACATCCTGGAGGTGGGGAAGATTGTAAAAAAAAAAAAACAAAACCAAACCCTAATTTTAAAAGACTTGCTAGGCTTGTAGTGGAATCATCAGGTAGCTTTTTTAAGGTTTTGAGCATATTATACTTTGATACTTGATGAGAAGAAATATCATGCGCCAATTAATGTCAGGGCTTGCTGAAACAGAAATAAAATGCAAATGATTATCCATTTTCTTAACAATGATATCTTAGGTAAAGGTTAAATGCTTTTTGTGTGTGGCTGGAACCTTAGCAATCATCCTGCCTGTATTGGTTATGCATGAAAAGTCAGCATGAGCAAGTTCCTCTTGCGACTAGATATGTTCCTTCCATTTATGCTCAAGTGCCACTGAAACAATAAAGGCGTTGTTTCTAGAACTTGTGTTTTAAAAAAACCCCAAACACCTACTAGCAATTGAGCAGAGGAAAAAGTGTGTTGCAGCGGTGTTGCCAAGCTTTCACTGTGTGCCAAGATACTTCTGTGTGGTTTTCATAGTGGCTGAGACAAACAACTGTAAGACAGTATATTTTTCCCCTCAAGGAATTATATTCGGATAAGGTTAGAAACAGCTGCAGAACCCAAACATCAATTTTGTCAGGGCGCTCCAAGTAACTTTGCAACTAGTGTATTAAACCTGTCCTTTACTTTTGTACACCCCAGGCCAAACCTAGACATCTCTCTGGCAAGTGGAGACAAAAGTAACCTGAAAGTATTTGTTCGAGTGTTGGACTTTTTTTTTTTTTTTTAAAATGCCTTTTCTGTTGGTATCAAGTGTACCTGACTGAGAGTTAAAACTTCACTTAGAGCAGGAAAGCAGTCATTTTGGTTTTACTGTGCTCATGGATACATTTCAAAATGCAGAACTCTAGTAGAGGATGGCTCAGTACAGTATGAACTCGAGGGTTTGCAAGAGAAAACAGAACCTAGTACACTAGGCTAATGTTGTGCAGTCATGGTCTGGGAACCCTTGATGGTCTAAGAGAAGATGATAACACTAAAATGTCTATTAAAAAAAAAACCCAAACCAGCAAAAACCACCACCAACAAAAAGCCCAAACCAAACTCTGCGCATGTGTACCCAAATAATATGGGGAAAAGCAAAGAACGGTCCAGGTTTAGCTTGGCTTCCTTTGTTCAGTTCCTGCTGGGAAATGCAGTCATCTCTCTTGCTGTTTTCCATAAACAATAATTTAATTAAAATGCCTATAGAGAATACAAGACTTTACAAGACTTCATTGTTGCTAAAAAGCAAATGTTGTTTAGCTAATTACAGACACTGTCATTTTCCAAGAACGCTAGGCTTAGGAAGGGTTAGAAAACATGACAGCAGGTGATGCAGCTGAAAGGCATGCCTGTGAGGTGTGAATCAGTCCCGCTCCCGGTTGCGGCA